AGTCGCTATTTGTACATGAGACCATGTACAAAGGTGAGGTTACTAAGGCCAATTTCCTGGTGACCTGACCCATGGATAGCCTGGCTGATGGTCACTGATACCAACAGGCCATCGGCCATGTCCCTCCCAACAGGGGAATACCACTTACTCTTCTTCCATTCTAGCCTACCAAATCTGTGTCCAGTTTACAATATGTGCCAAAATGATCTCCACTCTGCCCGAGGCAGAGAGCTCACTCCTTGGAAGTGGGCATGGTTAGTGAGGACCTATTAGGTTTTTTTTTTTTGTTTTTTTTTTTTTTTTTGGTTTTTCGAGACAGGGTTTCTCTGTGTAGCTTTGCGCCTTTCCTGGATCTCGTGCTGTAGACCAGACTGGCCTATTAGGTTTTATTGCAGATGGCCTCTTCACCAAGCCTCACCGCGTCCATCTCCCTGAAGACATTAGGCCCCTGGAAGGCAGGGGCTGCGTCACACTGTTTAATTGCTTTTCCCCTGTGTTACAGTAGGTCCTCAATAAACGTGCATTCTGGTGAACTAGCTGCTAGGTGCTGAACATTCATGAGCACACTTGCTTGTCACTAAGGCATTCATTCATTTGTTCCTTCATTTATTCAGCGCCCAGTGACTCTTACTATGCCAGGCACCACGCCACAGAAAGTGATTCATAAAGAACAGTGCTCCCAGAGAGCCCTGCACCTTGCCTGGGCCAAGCAGCAGAGCTGGCCCTGGTGGTATGAGTGTGGGTGACCCAGATCTGAGGGCTTGAGAGCAGGAGAACTGGCCCCGCCCCTTGCTGCAGGCTGCAGTGGGTGAGCTAGCCGAGGCAGGGCTGGAGAGCTCGCCTGGGTAGTGACCATGAGGGAAAGCTGGCGGGCTGACCAACCCAGCTACCCCCCAGGCCCAGACCCAGGGCTATGAGTGGGCCCACCCCATTATCCACCTCATCTGTGAACTGTTAGAGCACGTGAAGGGAACGAACTATAGCTTCAAAATGGCAAGGTCTTTATGGCACAGGACAACAGCAGGAAATCCCCGAGGAACCCCAGGGACAGCCCATTACTGGTGATACAGCAGAAACTAGAGGCTTCGAACCAGACCAATGACTCACAGCAATGAAGACTTGCAAGTAAAGATAAATGGACTAAAGGGTAAACTCTGTGACTCAAAGGGCCACACCACAGCTTCCAGGACAGGATTCTTCTTTGTTTGATTGGTTGGTTGGTTGGTTTTGTTTCATTGTTTTGTTTGGTTTTTGGTTTTTCTTTTAAATTTAGTTTTTATTTCGGGGAGAGGTTGCAAGGGTAGAGAGTGGATGTGAGGGGACAGGGAGATAGGTGGGATCAGAATTCGTGATGTGAAATCCACAGAGAATCAATAAAAGTTTAAAAATGAAAAGATCAATGCTCCCTGCAGAAGTTTGCACATTGGGAACAGAAGCAAAGGGGCTGGATAATTCTCAGTTATACTTTGGTCAAATAGCAGGGGCTTTCCAGAGGAAAGCAAATTCCTGCTGGGGTCTTAGAGGATGAGCAGGAAGGCCCTGGGAAGGGAAAAGGAAGAGTAGAGAGGTTGTAACACACATTCATGGTCTCTAGAATTGCCCGGAAGACGGGCCTGTGGGCATGTATGTGGAGGATTATCTTCATGCTTGTTTTTTGTTGTTGTTGTTTTTGTTTCTTTTTTGTTTGTTTGTTTGTTTTGAGACAGGGTTTCTCTGTGTAGTTTTGGTGCCTGTCCTGGATCTCGCTCTATAGACCAGGCTGGCCTCGAACTCACAGAGATCCTCCTGGCTCTGCCTCCCGAGTGCTGGGATTAAAGGCGTGCACCACAGCCACAGGCTTATCTTCATGTTAATGGGTGTGGAAAGACCTCTATTTATCATGGGTGGGACCCTTCCTGAAAAGGGGATCCAGGAGTCTATAAAATGGAGAAAGTCAGCTAAGCATGAGCATGGGTTCATTCCCTCTCTGCTTCCTGACTACCTCCAAGGCCCACCTGCTTCCAGTTCCGCTGCTCTGACTTCATGATGGACTGGTCCCTTAGCTGTGAGCTGAAATAAACCCTTTCTCCCTTCAGTTGCTTTTGTCATGGTATTTTATCACAGCACCAGGCAAAGAAACTAAGACAGCTTCCCAGGAGGTCATTCACATCACAAAGGTAGCCAGACAGCTGACCCTCCTCTGCCATGGCTCCTTCCAGCTGGAAAGAGGTAAGGGATGGAGCATGGAGATGGCATGGTGGCTGTGTCCTAGGGAGGCCAGGCTTTCTTCTTGAGGAGTAAAAGAACACAGGCAAGTGGAGGGAAACAGAAGCTCTTCACAGAAAAGGAAAACTAAGAGGACTATGTGAATTTTAGATGGTAGGAAGCAACATGGAACCAAGAAACCTCTTCTAGGCTACCAGCTGGCTGTATCCTGCGAAGATAGTGGAAAATTCCAGTCCAGTGGCACACAAAGCTACATTCTAGGTACGGGAGCTGTCTCCCAACCATGAGGAAAATCTGTTTGTGGTCCTGCTGCACATCATTCCCCCAAGTTGCCGATCTGGACCTAGGCCAAGGTACCCATGAGAAGGGGGAATCAGAAAGTTCAGAGTCTGTATACCCCGAGGATGCATGGCCATGAGTGAGCTTAGCTTAGCAGCATCCTTACGCTATATGTACCAGGGTAAACTCAGGCTGTCTCTAGGCCATGGAAAATGTCCAGGCTGAGTCTGAGAGCTAGAAATAGCCCCATCAGCCACCCCACAAGAAGTCTCAGCTCTCGCAGAGCAGCGTAAGAACCACATTACCAGGGTTTGTTTTCCTGGTCTAACAGAGAGCCCAAAACATCGTAATAGGAGTTGTGTTTTCTTTTCCTCTCTTCTGGGAAGGGAGATGACAATAACAGCATGCAACACACATCTGTATGCATCACTTCACACTGCTTCCCTCTTATGTCAGCTCTGCCAGGTAGGTGGTACTCTCTGCAACAGGGCTGAAAAACCAAGGTTCAGGTGCCTTCCGGGGTATGGCGGAATGAGGTATAAAGTCCAACATGGCCGACTCCAACCCAGGCTCCCCTTCCCCACAGCAAACCGTCCCACTTCTATCAGCCTCGAGAGAAAAGACAAGAGGAGCCCATTTGGAGGCAGTGTCCAGGAGCCAGGAAAGACCCAAGAAAATAAGTTAACTGTGCATGGTGCTACTAGGAAAGAGACACAGAAGCAGTCCAGGTAGACCATGACCTGCCTGCTGTATCACCTCCCCACTATTCAAAAGCTTGCCCAGTCCCACCCTCCGCTGGGCCCCGATTTTTATTTTTATTTGGTGACAACTGAGGGGACTCTGTAAGACAACTTCAGTAGAAGTAATTCAAAATACTGTGACAACTGGCATCAGGAGGGGAACCCTGCTAGAATAAGAATTGCGACATGGGAACTGAACCCGCCCCCTGGGGTGGCTGACATAAGACTGTGCGCATGTCACATTCTCTCTGGGTCAGTCCCTCAAACCAGAACTTGGTGTCACTATAGACGTGGCCTTACCCTAACCTTCACATGAAACTAGGCACCTAAGCAATTCTGAGGTTGACCCCTGAATTACTGCATACCTCATCTAATCACTGCCGGGCCCCCAGCTGCCCAGCCGGCTCCATTCCATCCATTTTCCCAGCCAGAAGGAAGCCAGCTGAAATAGATGCCTGCTAACCTGGCCCCCTTCACCTCTCTGCATAAAGGGCAAGGGGCAAAGGGTAAAGGACACCTCCTTGGCTCACCGTCAGCGTCTCTCAACTCCTCCTGCCCTCTTCCCAGGCTCTTCCCCAGTCATGAACACACTCCCTTTTCCTGTATTTCATTGACTGTGTTGTGCTGTTACTGTGATCATGGACACCTGGACACATGGTCCTTTCCCTCTGCAAAGCCCTGTCGATTCTTTAGAAAATTCAAATGCCAGGTTTTCCAGGCATTCCTCTCTGATCACTTCAGGATCAGTCAGAGGTCTGCCCTTCAGTCTCACCAGCTCCCCAGTGCTTCCCTCTGTCACACTCTTAGAATGATTATCTTTTTTATCTGTCTCCTGCATCAGTCTCCTCAAGAGGAGGAGCGAAGCCCAGAACACGAGGCTTTCTGCAGAGAGCACTGATTAGACAGCCAGGTGTGGTGGTGCATCCGAGTAAGCCCAGCACGCGGGAAACAGGGGCAGGAGAATCAAGAGTTCAAGGCCAACCTGGGCTACATAAGACCATGACTCAAAAGCAAATAAAGAAGTCATGACAACTAACAGCAGATGGTGTTCTCCCAGAAACAGGAGTCTGCACATGAGTTGAGGGACTTCCATGAGTCAGCTCCCTGCAGAGACCCATCAGTGCATGCTCCAGAGCTCACTCAGAGAGTCAATCCCTCTGCCTCGGCCACAGTCATACTCTACGCAGTTCTATGCGGTCACGATGAACTTTCCCGACCCTGAACACCAGTTACCACAAATGATCAGTGGGCCCTGGAAGCAATCTTATGGCTCTAGTTTGAGGTAAGGCAGGAGCAGGCAGCCAATGGTCCTTGGGCTCCAAGATCTATAATCTCTGGTGAGGAGACAGAAGGCCACGCTGTGCTGGGTCTAGAGTGTCAGCCAACCTCAGCAATTCTGCAAATCCTGCTTGTCCTGCCCACTCATGACTTAGCTCTTCCTTGTCAATCAGTTTCCTCTTATGAAATGGGTTTTGCTTCAAGTTTCTCCTGGCTGGCTTTGTTTTGTTTTTAACTACGCCTCATTCTACTCTCTGGAAGAGATACAGTGTTTCCAGTTGATCAAAGGGCATCTTTCGTCAGCCCCCATATGCTGAAAGGAAAAGTAAACCGAGGTGGATACTTGGACCAGACTATTCACCACCACCTCCACCCCGCCCCCAAGGTCAGGATTTGGGGTTGAAGGTGATGAGTGGGCCTGTGACCCTTCCTATGGATGACAAGGGGACAGGGTCCCTTCTTCCTAAACACTTTTTTTGTTTTATTCCCCTTACTGACCTTGAGATCAAAGTGGGCGATTTTCTTTGTGTGAAGGTAGTTCACCCCGTCCAGGATCTGCTTAATGAAGCTGGTGGCTTCTTCCTCACTTAACGACTCCTTCTGGGCCAGGAAATCGAACAGCTCTCCTCCGGACACTCTGGAAGACACCGGCGGGGAGGGCCAGGCCCAGTTAGTTTTGCATGTCATGAGGCCTGGGTGATGGGTGCAGGGCCTACACCCGCCTCAGATTCTCTGGAAAATAGAATCCCCCTTGCCCTGCCTGGAGCTAACCTGGGTCTAGTCGGCATCAAATATTGGCTTTGCTTCTGTATGCTTTCTGTTGAACCTCAGAGTCAAGAATCACTATCAGCGTGTTCCCAGCAAAAAAAAAAAAAAAGACCTCTGCTAGTGCTCTAGGCCCAGGTCCCTCATTATTCTGGATATTACCCTTTCCCTGTAAAGAGCAGGCTGTGCCCTGCCCTGTATTACATCTTAGAAAGAGCAGCAGTTCATCCGAAGCCCCTCCATTTTGGGTATCAATGCCTTATAAGGTACAATGATGTGGCGTCTAGCTAGTGAGTTAGCTGGTGAGGTTGGGGCATGCAGGGCATGGCATGCATGCCATGGCGTGCAGGCGGAAGTCAGAGGACAACTTGCTGGCGGCGGCGGTCCTCTACTTCCAACCGTGTTTGTTCCAGGGATTGAAATTGGGCTGTCAGCCTCAGCAGCAAGCCCCTTTACCTGCTGAACCGTCTTCCCAGCCCCTGACTTGGTATCTTGTTTGTCCATAGGAACAAATACCCTTTGCCCGGTACACCCAGAAGGCAGACAGTGGTGAGTGAATTATCTGCGTTAATAAAAATTATCTCAAGAGTTCATTGCACCCATCAGACCAATGAATGACACATTCCCCTCACCCCAGATTTATGAATGGAGGAACCACAGACTGCAGCATGGCACACCATCCCACCACAGTCATGGACCCCTCCAATGTGCCTTTGTCCTGTAGATCATCAAGTAACAAATTCTAACTGTCCTGGACTCAAGTAAGCGTGACTTGCCCTGCTCTGGGACTGCCACTTGGAAGCTATCCAGACCTAGTGTCTGATCTCTGGGAGTATTTTGTTTGTACTGACCCTTTACACGTCGTTCTGGATGTGTGTATGTTTGTGTACACATGCATGTAGGAGCAAGAGGTTGACGTCAAGTGTCTGTCTCAAGTGCTCTCTGCCTTGTATTTTAGGACAAGGCCTCTCTCTGGTTCAGTGAGAGCTCATGGATTCAGCTAGACTTGAGGCCAGCAAGCTCTTCCCATCTCTTTTTCCCCAGTGATTAGAGATGTGGAGCTTCTATGTGGGAGCTGTGGATTCGAACCTAGGTCTTCACGATTATGCAGCAAGCACGTTACCCACTAAGCCATGCCCATAGTCCTGGCATAGCTCTGCCTTTTCTTTTAAAATCCTACAGTTTAGCCAGGCTTGGTGGCACATACCTTTAATCCCAGAACTTAGGAGATGGAAGCAGGCAGATCTCTGCGTGTTCCAAGACAGCCAGAGCTACAGAGAAGGATCCTATAGAGCATGTTTTTTCTTGGCTTAGCTCTTCTGTAACTTACAAATATTGTGTGAAGTGTGGTGTGTGTAATAATTAAAATTACACACCCCCAGTCCGTCTCAAGGACTTGAAGGACGAGAGCAGGAGGAGGACTGTCCCCAACGTGAGGCCAGCCCAGTCTATACAGCCACTTCCAGCCTAGCCAGGGATACAGAGTAAGACTCGAACTCAAAAAGGACAAAAACGAAATGAAGCAAAGGTAAACGGGATGAGATAAAGACCTTGCAATTGCTGAGGTCATAACTGGTAGGTCTGGACTAGCAGTCACTCAGACTTCTTTCTGTCTCTACCCTAACAGCCCCCATAAAAGAGACAACAGGTGCCCTGCCACGGCTGTCTGGGAGCCTAGGATCCTCACTTCCCAAGAGAAGCTTTATAATCAGGGGCTGCCGGCAGCACAACCCATATGACAGACACATAGTAACCAAAGGACCAAATCTTTGCCCTTCCCCTTCCACCTGGGAATCGGTGGCAGCCTGGTCGCAAGCATGTACGATGAGCTACTTCTCAACTACGTAGTATGGGATCACTCTGTCCCCTCTGGAACCTACAGAAGAGATCACTTAGCCCTGGGGGCCTAAACTCTCTTCAAAACCCTTGGCATGTCTACCTGTCTATCTATGGCACTAATAATTCTTCCAATAAATCTCCTACCCAAAAGGACAATCTGTCCCAGTGTTTCCCTTGGTACTGGGAAACTTTGTTTTCTAAACAGCCCTGGCTGTCCTGGAACTCACTCTGTAGACCAGGCTGGCTTCAAACTCACAAAGATCCTCCTGCCTCTGCCTCCCAAGTGCTGGGATTAAAGGCATGCACCACCATGTCCCGTTTAGATCTAGGTTCTTTAAGAGGTTGGTTGGCTCTCAGACTAACTCCTGCCCCTTGACTACAGGATATCCAGGTACCTGTGTTTCCCATGAACCCCAGAAACCTTTCAGTTATCCAGGAAGACCACTATCTAAGAAGCAAGTTCTCCCAAGACAAGTCTCCTGGTGTCTTGCTCTTGAATTTCCCAGCCTTGAGAGGTCTAAGAAATAAACTTCTGTTTGAATAAGCCACCCAGTTTATGGTATTTGGTTATATAGCTAACTGAAGAACCTAACACAGGTGTATTGAATTGAGTGGGGTGATAACTGTGACCAACCAACCAACAAACACACACTAAAAATATGGAGGTGGCTTCAGAAGTAAGTAAGAGGCAGCTGAGGCCAGAGGAGTTGTAAAATGCCTGCCGGAATAAGTTTCAATGTCATCAATGAACTGCAGGGAATGGTTCTGGGGAGGGGAGGGCAGAGAATGAGGGGAGGGGAGTCTCAACACCCTGAAAGCATCAGAGTGGTTCTGAACAGAATGCTGATGAATACAGAGGGCACCACCATTCCGATGAGGTGGAACTGAGGATGCGGCATCGGTCGATAGAACAGAGACCATTCTTGTAATAAAACAGCAGAGAAATTTCACTGAATTTTTGCTGTTTTAACTTCAACACAGTGTCTGTGCCTTAATCTACTGCTATCTCAGTCAGCAACTGCAACTCTGAAATTAAGGCCTGCTTCTCTGGCAGCAACCTGGCCACTCAGGCCGCAGTCCAGTGACAATTCTGCTCCGGCATGCACTGGCTCTGTCGCTGCTGCTAAAAGTAGCTTTAACTAAATCTCTGTCGTTCTAATTAGGAATAAAACTCGAGATTCAAGCTGGACGGTGGTAGTGCACGCCTTTAATCCCAGCACTTGGGAGGCAGAGCCAGGAGGATCTCTGTGAGTTCAAAGCCAGCCTGGTCTACAGAGCGAGATCTAGGACAGGCACCAAAACAACACAGAGAAACCCTGTCTCGAAAAAACAAACAAACAAAAACCCCACAAAAACTCGAGATTCAAAGGCTGGGATGAAAACCTGTGAGCTCTGAAAGGCTGAGTAGCTACTAGCTAATTTTCTCTCCTTCTGCTTGGCCAAACCAGAAAAGACTGCGCCACTCCAAATCCCTCCCTTCTACTTCCCGTGTCTATCTCTCCCGGATGCCCTCTAAGGCTCTATGATTACTTTCTGTCAGCTAGTTGCTAATGAAGCCTCCTGACCCAATAACTTGCGTTATTTAATTAACGCAAATGCAAACTTGGGGTTTACAGTGTGATCGAATATCCCCCAACAAATTTTGTTTATGTGCTAGTATCTATGGAAGGTCGAACTTGTGAGTGATGAGATTGGACATCTGGCTGAGAAAATGTCTAGGCACCATGCTGATTAAGTGGTCTGGTTCCTCTTGACACCGTGAAATGTAAAGGAAGAGGATAATTTTTTTAAAATGTAGTATGTACGCATGTGTGTCTGTCTGTGTGAGTCTATGCATGTGATGTGTGTACAACTTGCAGGAGGTGGTTCTCTCCTCCCACCACATGGATCCCAGGGATCAAACTCGGGTCATCAGGCTTGGTGGCAGGCACCCTTACTCACTGAGCAATCTCACTGACCCAAAGAGCAGTATTTTAAAAATAGAATTATTAGTTAAAATAAATAGGAAAACATAAAAGTTGGAAGTTTTTTCCAGACTATTCCTACTGGGAAGAAAAAAATGAGAAAAGTCTGTGGAGGAGGGAGCACAGGTGTACCTGAGGCTTGCTTGATAAGGAGCTTTACATGGATCGCCTATCCCTGGGAGGCCAGGTGTTGTTCATCCAGACAATGCGGGAGATTAGTCAGCTGTATAAAGGGCCTATTGTCCAAGACAATGAGATAATGATTTCAAGTCATCTTAGACTTCACGGAGGGAAAGGGCTCCACTCCCATCAGAAGGCCACATTCAGGGCCCGGAGGACAGAACCCTCTCAAGGGAAGAGTCCCGCCACTGCCCAGCACTGGTTCATACGGAGGCCTTTGCTTCCTGAACTCTAACACCACGCACATCAGTCACACCAGGTGTGGCTCCCACCGGCTCCTGAAGTGATTGCTCTGTGCCAAGCAAAGCTGTGGGGGTGTGGCTACTTCCACCTGGATTTCAAAGGATGCCTCAGAGTTTGGTGGCCCCTGGAAAGAGAACTGTGGTGTGGGTGGAGGCCAATGCGGAGCGCGCTCACTACAGTAATACCCAGCAGGCCATGGGAATAGGGTTGCCCGGAGACTCCAGACCAGTAGGCCCACAGGTGTGTGAACCATTCTAGCCTGGAAGAGCCACAGTCAAGCGACTCCAACCTGTGAGGGCTATGGTGTGGGCTGCTCCCAGCAAAGACAGGGGCAGGGTTACCCAAAGCTGTTATGCAGGATCTGTGGGTGCCCGAGTGGGCCTGAAAGACAAAACAGTATGGCCAAATGATTCTAAAGCTGTGAGGTCTTGCTGACTCAAGACCTGTCACTCATTTTTTCCTTTCCTAATTTGCTCCTTTGGGATAGAAAGATCTATACTGTGCCTACCACACACTGAATTTTAAAACCACAATGCTTGTGTGATGGCTCCCATTTCCACTAATTGACCTCAGAACGAATCACCTACCCATAACTGCCTTAGATGTGCTCTCCAAGACACTGGCTTTGTTTGTTTGCTTGTTTTCT